TTTTTAAAGGATTTGTTTTTCATACAAAACAAGGAAATGTCATCCATGTGCTTGATGCCAATGTTTGGCACCAAGTTTGGGCCTTTGCCTCTAGGAAGGTACACACTTGAGTGGAGGCTTAGCCCACTGGCAGCTGCTGGTGCTCCTGTGCGGCCCTAGTAGTTCTTCTCAGGCCTCCTAATAGTCACTTTCCTTCGGTCTCCTTCCTTCTATGGTGTTTCCTCTATCGAAAGGCTTTTGGATGGCCAGCCCAAAGCCCAAAGCCCAAAGCCCCAAACCAGTTCTTCGAAATCTCACTGGTGCAATTCTAGGGTCTCAAAGGAGAGGAACATGTCCTTATTTGTGATTGCAGAGTAGCTTGTTTTCTTCGGATTTGTTCGGCAAGGAGGCGATGCAGTCAGGTGTCTGTCTGGTGGGTTCGTTATGATCACTGAAGTACTGCCAGTGGCAGAAGTGAGTAGCTCCCGAAGATGGACATTCTCACTCATGGTGGGGCCGTGGCAAATGCAGATCTGCTCAGGTACAGATATACTCACGAGCTTCAGGCTTTTCCATTTAAATGGCCCTGAAAAGGTAGCCCTCCACCAGAATGCCTGGATGATTCTTTCAGACAGCGTCCTCCTCAGCAAATCGTGACTTGGTCTGGGGAGTCTCTGCTCACTGTCTTTAGCACAGTACACATTGAGACATAGCTGTCCCTGTGCACCCACCAGAAAAATCTGTTCATCTTGGTGTGCTCTCTCTCTCACCTGAAGGTCCTAAGTTTATTTCCTTATGCTGTGATACTCTGGGGGGAAAAAAAAAATCCACAACCCATCTGAAAGACAGAGCATATATTGGGGTGTAGGAAAAGTCATGACACATTTTTAATAGCAAAGCATAGAAAAATATTCATGACTTTCCCGACAACCTAATAGTCGATTAAAGAAGAAGAAATCTACTCACCCTCCTTGTTGCTTTTCCCAAGGTGTTAGTTGTCTCGTGGGGGTTGGTTTTTCTTCCATATGGAAAACGGACGGTGAGGGCAAGATTGCAGCTCAAGCCACTGCCAGAGAAATAGTTCTCTTATATTTTAAACTCCATGGTTCTTTTTTAAAGGATTTGTTTTTCATACAAAACAAGGAAATGTCATCCATGTGCTTGATGCCAATGTGAAAGTTTTCTACACCACAACTCGTTTTGAAACTGTAAGGAAATATCTATGTGTGGCTTTTTCAAATAATTCCTGGGGTTTTTGTTTTTCTCCTCCTTTTCGTAACAAATAATTGGAAACTATGTAAAAGGAGCAATTAGTAATTCCAAAAGTTCAAATATCAAAGGTAAATAAATAAAGGGTGTTATTATTTTGCCTTTAAAAAAAAAAAAAAAGGCACTGGGGCCAGCAGGAGGCGTGGTGGTTAAGGGCACTGGACTCACGCATGGCCAACTGTGGTTTGAGTCCCGGACTTGGCAGCTTGCTTTCTCACTTTCTCTCTTTCTCTCTCTCACTCGCTCTGTCCCTCTCTGGTCAAATGAAAATAAATACATAAAATTCAATAAAATAATTCTTTATAAAAAAGAAAAAAAAATATGAGGCATAAGCACCACACTTCATACACTGACTTCATCTAACGCTTTATGCATTGATCTTACAGTCAATGGTATTCTGCCTAGTCTCGTGGTGTATTTTCAGGTTTCGAATCTTTCCTTAGCTAAGAGGTACACACACACACACACACACACACACACACACACACACACGAGGGGACTTCACACAGTTTAGGGTGTTATTATTTTGCCTTTAAAAAAAAAAAAAAAGGCACTGGGGCCAGCAGGAGGCGTGGTGGTTAAGGGCACTGGACTCACGCATGGCCAACTGTGGTTTGAGTCCCGGACTTGGCAGCTTGCTTTCTCACTTTCTCTCTTTCTCTCTCTCACTCGCTCTGTCCCTCTCTGGTCAAATGAAAATAAATACATAAAATTCAATAAAATAATTCTTTATAAAAAAGAAAAAAAAATATGAGGCATAAGCACCACACTTCATACACTGACTTCATCTAACGCTTTATGCATTGATCTTACAGTCAATGGTATTCTGCCTAGTCTCGTGGTGTATTTTCAGGTTTCGAATCTTTCCTTAGCTAAGAGGTACACACACACACACACACACACACACACACACACACACACGAGGGGACTTCACAAAGTTTGTGGAAAAGTGGAATGAAAGAACAAGAATATTTTGATGCAAAAAGTTTTGAAATCCATGGTTGACTTTTTCATAACATGCATAATATGAACATTTGGAAGATCCCTGGTGTTCATAATTTATCATGACAAATTATGTGAAGGAAATCTATTTTCCCAGAAATGCCTTAATCTGAAATAGCATATTTTCACTTAGACATTTAAAACTGCTCCAGATACTAATGGTGTGAAACTACAGTAATTTTATAGAAACTTTTGTTGAAGTATCACTGATACAGCTTCTGTTTTTAGATGGAGATGTTTAATACAGAGCCGAGGAGATACTGTTTGACATTTCTTCTCTTCTTCCTTTTTCTTGTGTGCCTTTTGGTCAGTTCATTACTGATTAAAACTCTATTGGAAGCACAAGGAAAGAGGCAAAATTCACATAGTCCTATTGTAAACTTATTTTAAAGGTTGTTTTGTCATAAAGCACGTGTGCTCACCAGTGAGAGAGAGAGAGAGAAAGTGGAGAAGGAAAGTGAAAAAATCACCCTCGAGGGGGATAGGGCCATGCTGCAATCCCTTCTCCTCCATTCTCATGCAATTTGGGGCACACGCGCACATGTGCCCAGCATGATTTTCAAGCCACCAGGTCTAGGACTAAAACTCTGGAGTCAGGCATGTGGGATCCAGTACTTTAACCACCACACCACCTTGGGCCCCCCAGTTGTAAACTTTTAATAGCTCTGGTAATAACTCCCTGGATAATAGAAACTATTTGAGTACACATTTCTCTTACCAAGGAGAAAGAGATCACAAATTACAGTACTGGCTCAAGAAACTTTTTTTAATGAATTAAGGGATTTGTTTTCAGTAGGACCCCCCCCCCACTTTCTCAGTCTATGATAGAGAAATGAAAAAAGTATAGTTTTACTTGTAATGCCCCAAATAAGCTATCAGAGAGCAAGCCATGTAAATACTACAGGGTGAATCCAGTAACGCAGTGTGGCAGTTGACCAAGTAGGCGGCAGGGTGAGGGGTGGGGAGCAAGTCAGAAAGCACAAACACCTCTTATTTATGGGGCTTTGGGTCCTACTGCCCATTTTCAAATGGCTGTTATCATCAGCTCCCTGAAGGCTGATCGCTAAGTGGAGAAAAGGAGAAAGCTGCAGAGACGGTAAATGGGAGTACAACCGTTGGAAGGCCTGTTGCCCCTGAATCTTACAGATTAGTACTTGGCAGATGAAAAATTGAGTTAAAAAGAGAGATAAACAAGGAGAGAATGAGAAAAATGTGCAATGTGAGTCTTAAGCAGATGAAAGTGCATTAGTGAAGGTACGCATTTCTCAAAGCCCACGCGCAAAGATCCACCTGTGGTTTTATCACGGGCCTGAGCGCTCCTCACATTTTAATACCATTGGGAAAAGCGACCTCCCTCAATCTTTGGCATTGCTTGTCAGCAGGCGTCATCTAGCCTTCACTTGAACACAGCTGATTTTAAAGGATTCTGGGCCTTTCGTTGTGTTTCTGCTTTGTTTCTTTTGTGTTCGCGGGTATGCTCATGTTTTTTTCTCAGTTGTGCTGAGATGTGGGGATGGATAGGCAAGCGTCAAGTGATCCCACTGACAAAAGAGGCCACGTCTTTGAAACGCTCACTTGCACTGAGCATGATCCTGTTTCTTTGATCCTCTTGGCTTCGAAATCAATGAGACCAAGGCCCAAATTTCATATGCAGATGTTTCTGGTTGCTGGCTTGAGTCTGTATACTTAAAAGGTCCTGAGCCTGAAAAATGAGGCTTCCTAACATATTTATGGCTCTTCACTTAGGTTATAATCACCAACAGATGAGTGAAGGACAAAGGCAGAGATCTTCCGAATTTTACAACCGCACAGCGTCTGAATCAAACGTCTACTTGAATAGTTTCCATTACCCTGATCACAGCTACAAGGACCAGGCCTTTGACACTTTGAGCCTAGACAGCTCTGATAGCATGGAGACCAGTATCTCTGCTTGTTCACCCGACAATATCTCTAGGTAAGATTTATTGATGTGTAAGCTTTCTGGTTTGGAACAGTCCCTGCTGGTTTCAGAAGTAAAGACATCAACACGGGTCATGGTATCAGCAACAGCCTGTATTGTGTAGACAGAGAGAATCTACAGTGGACTAGAGGATTGCATGCATGGAGACCTTTGGAAATAGTTTCTTCGCAGCTTAGGTGACTTAGCCAGTCAGACTTTCCTGACTCACAGTGGCTCAACTTACACTGCTCTGACTTTACGGGGTTGTAAAAGCAATACACATTCAGCAGAAACTCTACCTGCAGTCCATACAACCATCCTGCTTTTACTTTTAGTTCAATATTAAACAGATTACGTGAGCTACTCAACACTTCATTGTAAAGTGGGTTTTGGGTTAGATCATTTTGCCCAACTTCTGGCAAATGTAAGTGTTCCACGCATGTGTAAGGTAAATTACACTAAGCTAGGATGTTCAGTAGGTGAGGCGTATTAAATGTATTTTCATCTCAGTACCTTTCCTGCTTACAATGGGCCTATCAGGACATACTCCCACTGTAAGTCGAGGAGCATCTGTCATCATTCCTTCCTCTTCACCTATTTCTTTGCATTTGTGTTCCCGTTTCGACTATGCTTCAATGTTAATTTGCCTCTCAGTTTATTCAAAGCATTGTGTGCACTGCTTTTGATTAAATAAAGAAATCCTAACAATAGAATCAGAACTTATGTCTCATGAAAAAGAAGGCTTTAACTATTCTTGTATATTAAAATGTTTGCAAGGACTCAACCATGCACATTTGTATTTATACTTTGGGGAAAGCAAAGATGCCTTTATGGAATTAGGGCCAAGGGCACATCTAAAATATAAATGTGGCCATGGGACTCCTCCTTTTCTAAAGCTTCGAGGACACCCTGCTACCGACCATATAAACTCAGACCTCAGAACCTGGCTTTCCAGATGCAGCCAACTTCTGGCTTATTCTCTCCCCTGATACACCTCACAGAGCTGCTGCTGCTGCTGCTTCTTTTTTTTTTTTTTTTTAATTATTTTTTTTTTTTTTTTTTTTTTTAATTTGCTACAGGACTTGTACACCCATCAGAGACAGACAGAGAGAAGGAAAGCAAGAGACAAAGGGAAAGTGAGAGAGCAAGCTGCCAGGTCTGGGACTCGAACTGCAGTTGGCCATGTGGGGGTCCAGCACCTTAACCATTATGGCACCTGCTGACCTCACGGAGCTCTTATTAATTTAGGGAGTAATGAACTCTCAGATCTCTGTGCCTTTGGCCATACTTGTCCTTAACATTTTCTCACAGTGTGAACACAAAATCAGGGCTTAGTAAGCTAGTGATGGCAATAATGATAATAAGCATTACCCTAGGGGTATGCAAGATACTATTTTATAAGCTAACTAAAATCATTTTTGCAGAATGTAGATTTTATTCAGAATTGACTCTCAACTGCCTAAGATCCAAGACTTACTTTCTAAGGTTTGTGTTTGTTTACAGTGTAAATAATGATGCTGAGGAAGCAGAAACACTGTCTGACTCATGTAGGTCTCTGCTAGTCACAAAAATGATGTCTCAACACAAACTGAAGGGCAAATGTACCCACAGCTCTGAGTAATTCTACAGATGGCTTTTTGTGACATCATAAACCACAAGACCAAGTTTATGTCACTGGACTTTCAGCATAGAATTACCTCTTTAACAGACTTGTAATTTGGGGGTACTTTACTACATAATTTTTAAAGATCTTGATCAGAACACATTTTTTTAGTCTTTTATTCCTTTTTTTTTTTTTGGAGAGGTTTTTGCTATACGGCATGTGTGCTCGCTAGACAGACAGAGAGACAGAGAGATTGAAAGTGAGAAATCACCCCCCAGGGAGGATGGCCACGCCGCAATCCCTTCTCCTCCATTCTCCTCTCGGGATTTTGGGCACGCACGCACACGCGCCCAGCGTGAGTTTTAAGCCACCATGTCCGGGACACGAACCGCAGTCGATTACATGGGAGTCCAGCAACATAGCCATTACGCTAACTGCTGGTCTCATCTTTTATTCTCCTTTATGCCAGTCTTCAAGAAGTTCCCATTTAAATATGCTCCCTTATAATACACCTTGTAAACATCAGTTCCTCATCAGTAGCTTTCTGTCTTAATAATGGTTAAAAGCTTGTCTTAAGGTAACTTGAGTTTTTTAAAAGTATGTGGAAGCACAGAAGAGAAGAGAAATGCCTGTTTTTCTTTGTTTTAATACTTTGCTATTTCTCAGGCATCTTCTGTTTTGGCTTCAGTTTTTTGACAGTCAAAGGTTCTGATAGCACAATGAAATAAGTACTATTGGTAAATTCTGGCCATGGAGATTGGTTATTTGTAATTGTTAGCACCACAAGACCAGTTCTGTGTGAAGGAACTGTAGAAAATGATCACGGCTCCATGGAACTATTTTGCCAGGAATTACCATTCTGCAATAGTGCTGTCTTAGAAGGAATTAAAAGACTAATGTTCTCACCACACACGCGCGCGCGCTCACACGATAACTAGGTGAGGTGGTTGATGTGTTAATGAGCGTGATTGTGGTAATTATGTCACAGTGTATACATGTATCAAAAGCACCATGTGTATACTGTAAGTGTATACAGCTTTTTCCTAGACCTATAGTCTAGACCTCCCCCCTCCCCCTTTTTTCCTTATTCATGACAGAATGCATGCATGTGAGAGAGTGAGAGAGAGAAAAGAGCATCTCCGTAAGGTCTGGTCACACCATAATCCCCTTCTAGTCTTGGGCACTCATGTCTGTGCCTGGAATGTCTAACTCCACGGGGGATCTAAACCGTGTCTCCACATGGAATCCAGCTTCTCTTGAGTAGTGTACTGCTGCACCAAAAAGCTGGTCCACATATAATGTTATTGGACAATTACACATATACTTAGCAAAGCTAGGGTAGGGGGACAAGTAAGCGAAGAAAATGGAAAACAGTGAAATTGGGCTGGCAGATGGCGTGGTGGTTAAGGGCGCTGGACTCCCACATGGCCAACCGCAGTTTGAGTCCCGGTCCTGGCAACTTGCTTTCTCACTTTCTCTCTCTCTCTCTCACTCTGTCCCTCTCTGATCAAATTAAAATAAAAATAAATAAGTAAAGAAATAAAGTTAAATAAAATAATTCTTTAAAAAAAGAAAACCAATCTAAATAAACATCAACTACACGAAAATAAAAAGGACAAATGGGAGTTAGACTGTTGGTGAGTGTTTTAACTACTGAGTTTTCATGACTTGAGGTTTAGTGAAATTAAATTCCCAAATTGATTAGAGACGTGAGCCAGGCGACATATCTGATGTCACTGACAGGATACAAATAGAAATTATTATATGACCCACGTGCCTGTCTTCTGCTTGCTCCTTTGGCCAGTGAAGTTTGTCCCTTTTTCATTCACGAAATCAAGTATTCTCAAGGAGAATTCAAATTCCTGCAAAGATTAAAGGGGTGGGGTTTTGGTTTTGTTGTTGTTGAAGGTTTGTTTGTTTTTTCCTTGAATTTTTGCTTGCTAAAGAGAATGGAAATGTACCCTTTTGTACTTCCCCCAACAGCTAATAGAAATAATGATAAGAAATTGTTATGTTTTTTTCTCTCAGGAGAAAACACCCAGCTAAAAATTGGCCCAAGGTAACCCAGCAGAGTATGGTTTAATTGTTTTTTTTTTTTTGGAGAGATTTTCACTGTAGGGCGCGTGCGCTCGCCAGACAGACAGAGAGAGACATAGAGACAGAAAGCGAGAAATCACCCCACAGGGAGGATGGTCACGCCGCAATCTCTTCTCCTCCATTCTCCTCTCAGGATCTTGGGCACGCACGCACACGCGCCTGGCGTGAGTTTTAAGCCACCGGGTCTGGGACACGAACCGCGGTCGACTACGTGGGAGTCCAGCGACATAGCCATTACGCTAACTGCTGGTTCCCGAGTATGGTTTAATTGTTAGGCTTGTGAGGATCCAGCATTCCTAACACAGCAGCTCTTCAACAGGTGTTTTCTGTGATGGGGCTGGCAGCAGTGATTCTAAGACACACTTCCTGTGATCATTTATCTCTTGAGAACCCTTAGCCCTCGGTTTGAACCATCCTAAGTTTGATATGATGAAAAACATAACATGAGGTTACTACATTAAGAACTATCTATAACCAAGAAGACTGTGTATATTCATTTTATATGGGTTATTATAAATTCATTTATATCAGTGTGATCAACAAACACGAGCCCTCACTATGCGCTGGGCTCTAGGGTCTAGGGATGCAAGCACGGAAGCCTGTCTGCCCTCAGCAGAGTCCAGTAGAAAAGATGGTACGCGTGCGTAGGAGACGACTGGTTCTTCCCGACTGAAATATCGGGGAGAACATTTTGCGCGAGGCTACAGCTCCTCTTCTGCAGAAGAGTCAAATAAAGTGTAAGCAACTGAAAATAAAACATTCCATTTTGTGTTAACATTTCCAAGTTCTCTTTTTCTTTAGTTACCCTAGCTAATCTTGCAGCTTCTACTGCCTTTGATTTTTTTTTTCCTTCACTTGTATGTGTAATATTTTAAAGATACATTTTCAGGGACCAGCAGTTAGTGTAATGGCTATGTCGCTGGACTCCCATGTAGTCGACCACGGTTCGAGTCCCGGACCTGGTGGCTTAAAACTCACGCCGGGCGCGTGTGCATGCGTGCCCAAGATCCCGAGAGGAGAATGGAGGAGAAGGGATTGTGACGTGGCCATTTCCCCTGGGGAGTTATTTCTCGCTTTCTGTCTCTCTGTCTCTCTGTCTGGCGAGCGCACATGCCCTATAGCAAAAACCTCTTAAAAAAAATAAATAAAAAGATACATTTTCAAACTTCAGTCCCTTTCATTGGTTTGCTCATTGGTATGGTGGGTGGGTACCTCTTACAAAACTGTTCACCACCCATGCACTCATTTTTTAATGATGGTGATGGGAGGGGCGGAGGAGTGACTGTAGCTCAGTAGAAGACAAGCAGCACTGGGGCTGACCCACGTGGATATGCATCTGGAGACCTCCCTGAACACACAGGGCACATGCGTGCTCGTGGCCTAGGCCGGCTGAGACTGGGCGTGGATCATGCGGTGGAGACCCTGTTGGAGCGAGCGCCTGTCTTTCTGTCTCTTTCTCTCTCTGTGTCTCTCTTACTCGTGAAAGGAAAAAGTTTTTTTTTTTTTTTTTAAAAAAAAAAAGAAATGAAAAGTCCACACGTTTAAAAACACAGTGGAAAGCAGCTGGGATACCCTGCTCTCCAACTGAACAGTGACTTCAGATGTTGAGTGTCCTTTCTCTAGAACTTTGCTGACAGTTTTATGGATCTGACATCTCTGAGTTATTAAACTAATGGAAAGACTCCTAGAGGCCATCGGGTTTAGCCTTTGGTGGAAGCATGTTGAAGTCACACCTTGTAAAATTTGGTTTAAGTTTATTCGTTTCCGAGTAAAGCAGTTGACATTGGCATTATTATGCTTGCCCATAGTTTGTGCTAAACAGAGGTAAGTCAGTTTCACCTGCAATTTTCAGAGTTGAATTGATTTGTCCTTCAGACCAATGGCTCGTAAGTAAACATCCTTTAAATTGTATCTGCTTGGATTTTGTCCTGCTCCTCCCTTGACCCTGCGTGTGTGTGTGTGTGTTTGTGTGTGTGTGTGTGTGCACGCACACGTGTATATTAGAGACTTATCAATCGGAAATGATATTCTTAAAAGGCTTTTGTGTTTAATTCAGTGCCAGCACTTCAAATATTGCCAGAATAGAAGAAATGGAGAGACTTTTGAAGCAGGCGCATGCAGAAAAGACACGGCTGCTCGAATCGAGGGTGAGCTCAATATCATGCCAGAGGCCCGTGAGGAAACACTCCTCCTTACCAGCCTTCGTGAGCAGTGTGATTGTGGGGTCGTCAGTCTTACTAGCCTGGTTTTCTAATCTGAGAAGGAAAGGGGTTAGACTGTTTCTAAGGTTCTTTGCTGCACTGCCATATGGAAACAGAGCCGACAGAGACCGAAATGAATGCTTTGGGTTATGTTTTCCCTTAGTGCCCACTTGTGTACCCGCCAGCCAACAGGGAGGAATGGCATGTCTTTATGTGTGCTGCCTTCCTCCCCCACTGGCATGAACTACCCTATTGTAATATTAGAAAATCCCACATCATTGTGGCTGTATTTCAAGCCAGAATCGGAACTTCCTTAGGAATCCCCCAAAATGCCTTTGCATCCTGCCCTACCGGGCACCTCCTTTCCTTCTCTACCCCCCTCAGGCTTCCTCTGTGACCTCTTGCCAGGAAGCTGGGAACCACAACAGGAACCGGAAGGAGCAAGGCCTTCCCTTCGAAGGCAGCAGTCAGAGGAAAGGCAGAGTGGCTTGAGTACTAGTGCTGGGTGACCCTTTGTGAGGCTTTTCATTAAAAATAAGAGAAGTGGAACCAGCAGTTAGCATAATGGCTATGTCGCTGGACTCCCACGTAGTCGACCGTGGTTCGTGTCCTGGACCCGGTGGCTTAAAACTCACGCCGGGCGCGTGTGCGTGCGTGCCCAAGATCCCGAGAGGAGAATGGAGGAGAAGGGATTGTGGCGTGACCATCCTCCCTGGGGGGTGATTTCTCGCTTTCTGTCTCTATGTCTCTCTCTGTCTGTCTGGCGAGCGCACGCGCCCTACAGTGAAAATCTCTCCAAAAAAAAAAATTAAAAAAAAATAAGAGAAGTGTGGTCACCTGATATGAGAGGACTGAATGGGGTCACAAGCTGAATTTTCACTGAAGTCCAGTGTTGAATTGTCAATTCAGTTTAACGGTCCCACTTCTGCCTATGTTGATTTGGAAAGCTATGCCTGAAGAGTTGTTCTGGTCTAGGGCATGTGTTGTAAGAAACTAGACTAAGCCAACAGCGGTCTGCTGAGAATTTTCATTTTGTATGAAATGCATTGGAGCCATTCAAGTGTAACCAGTATGTCTTAAAATAATCATTCTTCTACATAACGATATTTAGGAACGGGAAATGGAAGCCAAAAAACGAGCTCTAGAAGAAGAAAAACGACGCCGAGAACTCCTGGAAAAACGATTGCAGGAAGAAACCAGCCAGAGGCAGAAGTTAATAGAAAAGGAAGTGAAAATAAGGGAGAAACAAAGGGCACAGGTTGGTCCCAGGGTCTTAATGGGTAAGGGTCGGTTGCCCCCTGGTGGTCATTTTGTAGAAGACAGACATTCTGTGTCCAAGAATGTCTTCTTAGGCACTGAATGTCAAATAGTTACAAGATGTGTGTTAGTGTGCAAAAAATGTTTATTTCAAAACTCTTAGAGAACTGTGAACCGAATAACACTTTTCCATAGTTGTGTACAGAACATTTGATGGGAGAGGCACTGTTTCTTCGATCTATTGGAATATTTTTGAAAGAATATTTTTTGAGCAGATTTGAAAAATGCCTCTGGATTTTGCTACTGAAAACAAATATAACCCACAAACTAAAACTTTTGGTTGAGAAAGGCGAGAAATTCTATTAAGTCATCTTTTAGAAACAAACATTTTAGGGACCAGCAGTTAGTGTAATGGCTATGTCACTGGACTCCCATATAGTCAACCTCACTTTGAGTCCTGGACCCGGTGGCTTAAACTCATGCCGGGCGCCTGTGCATGCATACTCAAGATCCCGAGAGGAGAATGGAGGAGAAGGGATTACGGTGTGGCCATCCTCCCTGGGGGGTGATTTCTCGCTTTCTGTCTCTCTGTCTCTCTCTGTCTTTCTGGCAAGTGCACTCGCCCTATAGCAAAAACCTCTCCAAAAAAGAACAGAAAAAAAAAGAAACAAACATTCTAGAACAAGATATTTTACCAGCCCAGTTATTTTTATTTTTTTAAAGAATTATTTAACTTTATTTTAATTTGACCAGAAAGAGACAGAGAAAGAGAGCGAGAGAGTTGAGTGAGAGTGAGAGAGCAAGCTGCCAGGTCCAGGACTTGAACCATATTCCACCATGTGGGAGTCCAGCACCATTAACCCACCATACCACCTGCCAGCTCCCCAGCCCAGTTCTTGATGAAGGTGTTAGTGTTTTATTTTGGCTTTTCCTAATCATTGCGTTATCACAAGTGTCCTCTTTGCTATCCAAGTCCTTACCATAGGGACACAACATTGCTGAACTCGAACAAACTTTGGGAAGATCACTCCTCATGCTTAACTTGTCCTGGTCATTGTCGAGTTCAAATCTCTGTTCTCGTCACTGTGGCTGTTACTATGTATATTCTCTGGAGATAAAATAAAGTTCTTTCAAGTACCATGTAATTTAAAGCACAAGTTATTTCAAAGTTGACTAGACTCCAAGGCAAAATAAATAATTTTCCATATTCTTTATTATTGCTGGCAGTTTGAGAATAAACCAGTTAGAAATTGTCTTTAAGACTTTGTATGTTTGAGATATCACTAAGTCTGGTCATCTATCTACTGTCAAAGTACCACAGAATCGAGTAAAATATTGAAGGAAAAATAGAAAGTAAAACTCGTTTATTGTATTTCATTATGCCCAACCTTTGCCAAATTCTAATTTGCAATGTAGGCCATCCATGTGTGTTTAGTATAGGAAGCCAAACCAAATAAACACAATTTTACTTAAATCCTGATTACAAGCTTTGCCTCCAAGCATTATGATAAGCTCCCTTTCCTCCAGGGCAAAGGGCCGAGGTTACTTAACATGAAGCGATAAAACACCATTCTAGAAATATTACCCATGGTGATAGGTGCCTCCAGGATTAGATGACCCTTTACTGCAGCCCCTTGTAAAATAAAGGACATCTAAAGGCATCCCTTTGGTGTCTGGCCATTATACTCCGTCCAGCTTTGATTCCACTTCTCACTTTTTTTCGGCTTTACTTTTTTATACCATGTGTCTCTGCCAGCAATGCCTATCAGAGTGTATGTAAGCTGACATCTGTAACTTGGGGGATCCTGTTGGGCGTTGTTCTTACTAACCAGTGTTCAATCACTTCTGAGATTACGTCAGGAGAACTATTGTTCATTTGTGACTAGGAGAATTCCTGGGAACTTTATGGCGGTGGCGTCCTCACCTGTAGGGAGCTGCCTAGAGAATTTTTTACTCCATGTCCCCGTGGTTGTTAAGTGCTGAGTATCTTCTCTAAACTAGGATAAGAAACACACACACACACACACACACACACACATATTTATATTTATATTTATATTTATATTTTCTCATCTGCCCATCTCAAGGAAGAGAATGTGTCGGCCTGAGTTGTTGATTCACTGCCCCTGCCCAGCCGTATAGTGACATCCTTCTCAAAATACTCCATTTTTAGACTCCAGATGTGCTTTCTTTTTCTTAGGCTCTCATGATCACATGGGCATTTTAAAGCTTAGGCTTTGAAGTTCATTTCTGCCTCTAAACATCTGTGACCTAAAAGAAAGTTAAAAATTAATGACAGAAGGGATGGGTTGTGTGCTCTCCTAGGCTCGTCCTTTGACACGCTACCTGCCTGTCCGGAAGGAAGACTTTGACTTGAGGAGCCACGTAGAGACCGCTGGCCACAATATCGATACCTGCTATCATGTATCAATCACAGAGAAGACCTGCCGAGGATTCCTCATCAAAATGGGTGGGAAAATTAAAACCTGGAAGAAACGCTGGTTTGTTTTTGATCGGAACAAGAGAACGTTCTCTTATTATGCAGGTGGGTATTTTTTAAAAAAAATGGAGTGATTATTCACATCAGTAACCCTCCAGTAGAGAGCAGAGGCAATTGAGTTTAGTGTAAATAGGTAGGTTGGCAATTTGTAGAATTAATGGCAGTATGAACTGTGTGGGTATACATTCTTCTCTGTTCAGGTAATATAGTTCATAAAAAAATGAATTTTCTTCCTTTCTAGAAGTAATAAACATTGTATACTACTTTAAAAAGTGCAAATTGGTCTATTCTAGTTGTAAAATAAACTCAGATCCCAGTAGGTAATAAATGGATATTTTTTAGATCAAAATACTGTCTTTAAGGGACTAGCAGTTGGCGTAATGGCTATGTCACTGAACACCCATGTAGTTGACCACAATTTGAGTCCCGGACCTGGTGGCTTAAACTCATGCTGGGCATGTGTGCGTGCATGCCCAAGATCCTGAGAAGAGAATGGAGGAGAAGGGATCGTGGCATGGCCATCCTTCATGAGAATGATACCCCCTCGCTTTCTGTCTCTCTGTCTCTCTCTGTCTTTCTGATGAGCGCACGCTCCCTGTAGCAAAAACATCCCCCCCTCCATGAAAAAAAAATTGTCTTTAAAATCACAAAACCAGGAAAACAGGTTTTTTTTTGTTTTTGATTGATTGATTTTCATATTTCCTGTTCAAGTCACACACAGTTAGAATGACAATTCAAGCACTGTTTACAAACGGATGATCTTTTTAAGCGCAGGGAATAAAACACATCGATAAAGTGGTAACTAAGTATTTACTAAACGTCTAACACATTTTGGGACTTTTAAATGCTAGACTATGCAATCTCATATAAATACAGGGATGTTGGTGTTACTGGTGTGCTGATTAAATAACCCCTGACTTACTCTTGGATCACATGCAGTGCATCCATTACTAGCACAACCGTAACTCTGCCCTGTACTTCAGCCACTGAAGAATGTGGTCATACCAGATGTCACGTACAGACCCTGCTTTGGGGTGACCGTATCCACACTTAGGAGCATCATTAGGAATTGTTACAAGTTGTATCAAGTGAAGTCAGGTTATGGTTATGAGTAAAGAGGTGAGAAATCAAGAAACACGTGGAAGAAAGCCACCCTGGCCTAGGAGCCCTAGAGTCAGGGTGAGGAGTAGGTGAGCTGGACACATGCCTTTTTCAGTGAAGAGCTCTTTGGGCGGAGTTCCAGCTGCTACAGAATTAATATTCTCAGGAAATTGCCTGTCCCTCCCAAGTACCTGCTTGGTCTAAGGGGTTTCTGACTTTGTTTGTTTATTTTGGAGAAGTTTTTGCTATAGGGTGTGTGTGCTCACCAGACAGACAGAGACAGAGAGACAGAAAGCAAGAAATCACCCCCCAGGGGGGATGGCCACACCACAATCCCTTCTCCTCCATTCTCCTCTCGGGATATTGGGCACGCACGCACACGCGCCCGGCATGAGTTTAAGCCACCAGGTCCAGGACTGGAACCGCAGTTGACTACATGGAAGTCCAGCGACATCCCCCCCTCCATGAAAAAAAAATTGTCTTTAAAATCACAAAACCAGGAAAACAGGTTTTTTTTTGTTTTTGATTGATTGATTTTCATATTTCCTGTTCAAGTCACACACAGTTAGAATGACAATTCAAGCACTGTTTACAAACGGATGATCTTTTTAAGCGCAGGGAATAAAACACATCGATAAAGTGGTAACTAAGTATTTACTAAACGTCTAACACATTTTGGGACTTTTAAATGCTAGACTATGCAATCTCATATAAATACAGGGATGTTGGTGTTACTGGTGTGCTGATTAAATAACCCCTGACTTACTCTTGGATCACATGCAGTGCATCCATTACTAGCACAACCGTAACTCTGCCCTGTACTTCAGCCACTGAAGAATGTGGTCATACCAGATGTCACGTACAGACCCTGCTTTGGGGTGACCGTATCCACACTTAGGAGCATCATTAGGAATTGTTACAAGTTGTATCAAGTGAAGTCAGGTTATGGTTATGAGTAAAGAGGTGAGAAATCAAGAAACACGTGGAAGAAAGCCACCCTGGCCTAGGAGCCCTAGAGTCAGGGTGAGGAGTAGGTGAGCTGGACACATGCCTTTTTCAGTGAAGAGCTCTTTGGGCGGAGTTCCAGCTGCTACAGAATTAATATTCTCAGGAAATTGCCTGTCCCTCCCAAGTACCTGCTTGGTCTAAGGGGTTTCTGACTTTGTTTGTTTATTTTGGAGAAGTTTTTGCTATAGGGTGTGTGTGCTCACCAGACAGACAGAGACAGAGAGACAGAAAGCAAGAAATCACCCCCCAGGGGGGATGGCCACACCACAATCCCTTCTCCTCCATTCTCCTCTCGGGATATTGGGCACGCACGCACACGCGCCCGGCATGAGTTTAAGCCACCAGGTCCAGGACTGGAACCGCAGTTGACTACATGGAAGTCCAGCGACATAGCCATTGCGCTAACCGCTGGTCCCTATTTTTTTTTTTTAATTTTGTATCTACTTACATATTAGTCCTATTGTTCTTTATCATTTTGTATATACCCATATTTCCATCTTTTTTTCCTACGCCGTAGCAATTTTGAAAGATTGCTATTTAATCGCTGTTACCTTTACAGTGTACTAACATGGCCTTTCTCCACATGAATACAGTGACTCTTAGTCAAGACATTAGCACACACGTTATTATCAGCTGAGAGCTTTTCATCTTTGTGTCTAGGAAATGTTTTGTTTGTTTTTTTTTCCCGTCCCCTCCCTCCCATCCCATATTGCACGCCCTCTACGACCCAGCCTTGTGTGCTGTCCCCGGTATCCGGAGTGGCTGTGCTTTCTGACTTGGAGTTTCATAAAAATCCAGAGCAGCTTCCTTCAGTTAGTGCCATGGAAAAGATGCCTGCTTCCTAAGAAATCCAAGTTGGTGTCTCTAAAATGTGTAAACAAACCTTTTCGGCATGCTAATCACTACAGACCCCCTCACCCAGAAATTTCCAAAACTAAAAGTTTAAGAAAACTTCAGGCAAAAACGGCTTCACGGTTCTGTGCTCTTCTCTGTGAGTTGTATTTCATTCTTCCATCCATCAGCCACTCAGCTTCTCTCCTGATCCACTGGCATGGATTTTTTCAAACTGAAACGTTTGGTGCCAGGATTTGAATTTTCTAAAAATACCAAAAGTATTTTGGTATAGGAAAGATTGCCTAGAACTCTAGTACATAAAGCAAACAACAAGAACACTTCACCTGGCTGATTCCTCTTCACATTGTTATAATGGACGAGTAGACCGCTGCAGATGCCCCTCCAGCACAGTTTACGGCTGTCACCCATCAGCCCTTTCTACTGCGGCCCTCCCTCCCCCACCCCTTTCCCAGTTATCACTAGAACAGGAATAGATCAGTCCCAGGCAGTCGTCCAGGTTCAAGGCCAGTTCACGCTGACCTTGATCCTTACCAGAGCTATGCCCCTTCAGCTTCTCCATGGGGTTAATGGCCATGTTTGTGTGAAGGCTGCAGATTGAGTGTGGAAATCTGAAAACTCAGGTCTCTGTGTTGTTCTTGGCCCTGGCTTTTGTCCTTGGGCCTCCTGCGTATTAACTGGGAACTTAATGAACATTTCTCTTAAAAATGAAGCACAGAGGGACGGGCACGTGGTGGGTGCTTAAGGTTCTAGACTCTCACATGGCCGACTGTGGTTTGAATCCTAGACCTGGCAGCTTGCTTTCTCACTTTCCCTTTCTCTCTGTCTCTCTCTGGTCAAATTTTAATAGTAATAATAAGTAAAATTAAAATAATTCTTTTTTTTTGGGGGGGAGAGGTTTTTGCTATAAGGCGCGTGCACTCGCCAGAGAGAGAGACAGAGACAGAAAGTGAGAAATCAGCCCCCAGGGGGGATGGCCATGCTGTAATCCCTTCTCCACATGAATACAGTGACTATTCCTCTTGGGATCTTGGGCACACATGCACACGCGCCTGGCATGAGTTTAAGCCACTGGGTCTGGGACTCAAACCACAGTCAACTACATGTGAGTCCAGTGACATAGCCATTACGCCAACTGCTGGTCTCAAAATAATTCTTGAAAAAAAAAAAGGCACAGAAAGTAAGTCTATAGGGAATGGCAGGTAGTGTGGTGGTTAGGGCACTGGACTCTCACATGATGAAACACAGTTCGAGTCCCAGACCTGGCAACTTGCTTTCTCGCTTACTCTCTCCATTTTCTCTGGTGAGCACATTTGCCTTATAGCAAATTTTTTTAAAATGACAATAATAAATAAAATTAAGTAACTTTTTTTAAGAAGGAAAAAAAGACTTCTGTGTAAATTGGTGGGATAACGCTATTGACAGAGGCAGAAGGAATTGCATTGTCCTATCAATTTATGTAGCTTTGTTGATTCTTTTGGCTTGCAATAGTGAGCCTTACAATTTTCAGAGATCTTTCTTATATATAAGGTACTGTACAAACAAAAGTTTCTTTCTCCATTTTTCTTTTCTTCTTAAGTTTATTCTTTTGTTTTTTCCTTGAGAGAGAGAGAAGCAGAGAGACAGGCTGGCTCCTGACAGGGTCTTCACACTGTGGTCCACCCCGTCTCGACTAGCTGGGATCCTGGGCGCACACATCTGGCGTGCTCAGTGCAGTTCCAGGATGTGAACCTAGGACCTTTTCCATGTGAATCCAGGTGTTACTGCTGCCTCACCAACTGGCCCCTTCTTCCCCAGTTTTCTGCCTGCTTAAACATTGACAAGATTAATTTTGACCTCCTAATTTTATTTTACTTCTGTTTTCAGAAAAGAAGTTATTGATGTAATTTTATGAATTATTACACGTTCCTTTCCAGCAAATATTTGAGCAATATATTGCCCTTATCTTTCATAGAAACTGGCTGAAATACACTGAACATAGTATTAATTAAAACAGTGTTTCTCAAGGAAGAACAATAATATGGTCCATTGTCAAATAAGTAATGAAAATGCTGAGCTAAAGGCACATAAAAAGATTGATTTTGTGTTGAACTTCTCAGGGCCAATATTTTTCAGACTAGCTTTTTATTATTACTGTTGGGAAAAGGGACATTCACTTGGTTAAAAAAAAACACCAAATCCCACAAAAGTCCTTACAATGAAATTAAATCTCTTTCCTATCACAGACATTTTTATATTTCCCACTCTTAAGCCATAATCTTTTAGATTTTCTCTGTTCGTTTCTATGTATGTTTCAATACTTGTGTATTCTTTCTCCTTTTATAGAGTTGAAATCAAATTAATCTACTCTGTTCATATCCTTTTTCACATAATATTTCAAGATTTTTTTCCTATGAGCATATACAAATCTGCCTCGATTATTTCAGTGGCTCTACAGATCCATTGTATGGCTGGTCGATAATGAACCAGTCTCCTAGTAAAGCTCAAGCAGCTCTTTTGCACCGTGGTGCCATCACAAACATAAATCCAACCTGTGTGCACTTGTACACGGGTAGGTATTGTAACTTACGTGATTAAGTTTTAGAAGTAGATTTGCTGAGTAGGAGAATATTTGCATTTTTATTGCATTTATTTTACCAGAAGGGGCTGTCTTATTTGTACTTTCACTGAAGGTATGATAGAGTCACCTTCCCTGCATCCTCATCCATGGTTCTAAAATTCTCTAAGAAGCTTGCATAATTCTGATCCCCTCAGAGTTAAAGTACAAAATATTTCAAAAATTTATTAGATCACAGAATGGTCCTGTGTGTTTGATGCTTTGGTTGGTTGTTTTCATTCATATTCCATTTTGCTTTGGTTTTTTACTTTTTTTAAAAAAATAATAATTCATTTATTTAATTCTATTTGTTACTGTCATCTTTTAATTTGATGAGAGAGAGAAAGGGAAAGCAAGAAAGCAAGTCCCCAGAGCCAGGCCTCAAACTGTGATCAGCCATGTGGGAGCCCAGCAACTTTAACCACCACGCCACCTGCCGGCCCCCTATTTTTGGCTTTGTTTTTATGGTGAAATGTAATGACATCTTTGGAAACAGCTTAGAAAATGCATGAAGCTCTTTTGAAAACAAAAATTAAGCATGATAGACAAGACATGTGATATGCGGCCCAGCCCCTGAGCCACAGCCTGTAGAATAATAGACAACTGGAAACCACATGTTGACCATGGCTTGAGCCCCTGACTCTATCATCCTGAAAACACACCAGGTACATGTGCACATGCCCAGATCCTAACGAGAAGGACGACCTGAGGAGGGGAATCATGGTGTGACCAAGCCCTGTGGAGGGTGCTTCTCTCTCCCTGTGTCTCATGCACACGCATGTGCCCTATCATAAATGGAAAAAAAAGAAAGCATTTCAATTGGAAAGAAATATAAGTATAAATTAACTTTTGTTATAAATTTTAAAACACACTTAAAAATTTCCTAACAACGGAACTGCATATTAATATTTCTGTTCCAATGACAGGCTTGGGCATGTGGGGGAATACTTCGTATGGGTGCCAGTAGTGTTTACAGTTTTTGTGCCAACGTGATAGCAGTCCTGGGTTACCTTTTGATTGCCAATTTGCTGAAGAGCCTTGAGTAAAGTCATTTGTTGTCTTTGAACTGGAACTGATGGTTCTTTTTTCTTTTTATTATATAATGGGACTAACGTGCTAATCCAGATTATCTGAACTAATCTTAGGTAATTTAAACACTAGATAAATATCTTAATGCTGACAATTATAATGAAGTTATAGCCTTTTCCTGTCCACCAGTGGTGATGAAGTATTTATTTGAACACTTACTTTTATCTTTGCAGACAAGCATGAAGCTAAATTAAAAGGAGTTATATACTTTCAAGCCATTGAGGAAGTCTATTATGATCACCTCAAGAATGCTAATAAGGTAAATAGCAGTTTTCTAAATTCCTATTCTTTGAATACATAATTAATTGGAGAAAAAATGATTTTTTGAATTCTTTTTAAAATTTTTATAACTTATTTGCATTTAATTGTGCATCATTGTTGGGTACAATATGAATTTTCAAAACATGCATGCAGTGTGCAATTGTCAAATCAAGGATATTACCATATTCATAATTTTTTGAATTCTAAGCAATTTAGTCTTCCGGTCTAGGCATAACAGATAGATGTGATTAGAATGGTGCTGGAAAAGTAAACAGAAGTAACTAGGAAAGCTAAAGGTCTTGAGGAAAGAATCATGGTGAGGCTCTGCCTCTGTGCTGAAGTCGGTAGTATACCAGACTGGAGCTGGAGGCCACACGCTGACTCCAGTTCTAGTCCCTGGCCTGGTCAGCCTAAGCAAATTCCAGGCACTTGTGTACATGCCTACGATCCTGCTGGACTCCAGGGTTAGAGGAAAGGGATCGTAGCATGACTGAGCCCTATAAGGGTACATCTCTCGTTCTTGTGTGTGCGCTCCATTATGAAAGCTGTTCTAAAAAAATTATTTTGAAGTGAAAAAATATTCTGTACACATCGGTTAGGGAGACCTTGCAAAGTGTTCAACAAAGGTTCTAGAAAGGAGTTGCTGCATAGTTAGGAAAGGGATCAGGAGCAATAAAGGGTCTTAGTAGGGGCCAGATAACAGGTGTTATTTATTGAGCACTTATCAGTAGGTACCTGTAAGAGCTTCACAAACTAGCTGCCAAGAGTGTTGAGCTCCGTCTGAGGTTTCTTATGCAGAAAGGCCAAAGCGTTGGTCAATCCAAAGAAAGGCATCGGGGGCAAGGGTGTGTGTTGTAAAAGAGCAAAAGTAGTAACTACACAAATTTCTATAAATTGGGACTTTTAAAGAGGAAGAAGCCTTCACAAATGTCTGCATGACATAATATTCTAATTTCAAGATATTTTTCTCACCTTCTTTTCCTTTTTGAATTTTAGAGTCCAAATCCATTACTCACCTTTAGTGTCAAGACACATGACAGAATCTACTATATGGTGGCCCCATCTCCGGAAGCCATGCGGATCTGGATGGATGTTATTGTTACTGGAGCAGAAGGTTACACTCACTTCTTATTGTAGTGAACTGACAACAGTCCACTGCAGGGCAGACTGCAATAATCTTCCAACATGAAGCCATATTCCATCCCAGATGGAAAGACCTAAGAGACCCATTCCTTTGGTGGTTAATGTACAACATACACACTCAGAACTCTTTTCATATTAACAAGAAGTCATTTGTAAAGAAGACAGAAGGGGTTTAAACTCAAAGCTTGATCATAAATAATAAAAGAATTGAAGCTCCTATGAGGAAAAAAATTGCTATTTTGATAAGTAGCATCCATATAGGAATATATCTGGTAACTATTCTTTTTTTTTTACCAATTACTAGTTTTGGTGAAATAAACTAAGTAATTTACAAAATGTCTGTATATTCTTGCAAATATGGGATTATTTAGCACCCAAACATTGGCATGGACATTATTCAGTCTAGTAAGGAACTAGTTTTTTTTTTTTAATAATGTAACACTTTGCTGATGTTTAAAAAAAAAAATACAAGAGGATTTGGAGGGAAAAATTGTCGTAAGAGGAATTTTGCCTTAATATTTTAATACTGCACCAAAACCAAAGATATGACATGACCCTGTTTAACAGTAATAGTTTCAAGTGTAGTGATGAACTGCATTTAGGGTTACTCTATGTTTTAATTTTATATTTTGATGCCATTAACTGCCCAGGATATTGATGCTGAAGTGTCACCACCAGCAAAAGCTTCTATCTATCTATCTATCTATCTATCTATCTATCTATCTATCTATCCACACTAATATATACCATATACCCAGTTATATATACTAAATATAAAACTGGATATATAGTAAAACACTTTTTGTAAAAGAAGAGCAAAAAGATGTGAGTTTTAGAAAGAAGCCATCTTAGACAACAGACATCCTGTCACCTTGGGTAATTTTAAATAAAGAAAATAGTTAGTGTTAGGAGATTATTTTTGCTAAAGATTTCTCCATTCCTGGTGCTGAGAGTAAAGGCAATTGGTAGCTGATTTCTTTTTTTTTTTTTTTTTGAGAGGTTTTTGCTATAGGGCATGTACGCTTGCCAGAAAGACAGAGAGACAGAAAGCAAAAAATCACCCCCCCGGAGGGATGGCCATGCCACAATCCATTCTCCTCCATTCTCCTCTCAGGATCTTGGGTATGCATGCACACGCACCTGGTGTGAATTTAAGCCACCAGGTCCAGGATTCGAATTGTGGTCAACTACGTGGGAGTCCAAGTGATGTAGCCGTTATGCCAACTGCTGGTCTTGGTAGCTGATTTCTTTTAGATTGTCTGATTTCCCTGTTGTGGAACACATCTGCTAATTGGCCCTCACATTCAGGAAGTCATAAATCTTGTTTTCATAAAAAAAAAAAAAAACAGACCAATTAAATATGCTCATTTGTAGAAGTGGTGTAGTTGTATAAAAAGGCAAATGAAGTTTCAATTTTACATTCTCTGTAATGTACTATTATTAGGTATTTCTTTACAATTAGCTTTTCTCATTAGAGTTAAATTAATTTTCATTAAATGAAATGACTTCAGGTAAGTCTCTTTTATAATGGTTTTTCAAATGCCATTTACACTAGTTGATCATGTTTTGCACGTTTGTAAGTATGAATACACTCTACATGGCAAACAAATGGAAGTAAAAGTAATGGTATTACTTATTAGTAAGTACAAGCTGAAATGATTAGTTTAGAAGTGTCTTTTTATGAAACTTTGTCAGGCCTGACTGGGTACAATTTTTTTTTTTTAAATTTGCAGTGTAGTTTGTATACATGTTGCCAACAATAATATTTTGCAACTGGATGACACAGGATTTTACTTGAACAGTGAAGGACAAAAATTATGATTGTAGAAGACATTTTTAAAATCGTATTTTTCCAAAGATCAGCCTTTAACCCTGTAATGATCCAAAAGAGTGAAATGAAATTGCTAAAATTTTGTCAATTAATGTACACATATAACATTTTGTACTGTACTTTACTTTCTTCATAAGATTGTAAAGGTATTTTAATCAACTTGCATGATGTAATAAACCTTTCAAGTATGTGTGTTAAATATGTTGCGTTTGGATTAAAATTTTGACTTGATTTCACATTTGAAAATAAACTATTTCATTTGGAAGTTACCAATCAGTAACATTATGGAGGATAGATTATTCAGCAAAAAGTCAATTTTGTAGAATTTACATAGAGGGGTTTTTTGTGTGCTAACATTACAATTTGTAGTTTATAAACTGAAAGTAATTAGAAATATCTTTGGTCATATTCTTCTCGTTTACAAAATAAGACAAACCCTGAAAAATATCTGACATTTTATTGTTGTCTTTTTGCACAGATGCAATTGCTACTGGGGGGTTGCAAGGACTGTGTTTACTTATCTTCCTCTCTGACAGGGAAAAAAATCAAGCAAATGTGAAGCAAAGCATTAGAGTTTTACTTGGTGGGATATTATTTGTCTTACCAAGAGGCAGACTTCAGAAAGAGAGACTGCCCTCGACTGTATGTTCTTCTACCCCTTTGTATGAAGGTAATATTGACAGTGAGTGCCCAGAATAAAAACAAGTCTGTCTACTTCAAGGCCTCACTGTCAGTAAAAGTATCTCCACTTGCCATGGGCCACAATTTTTTATTGATCTGTTAGACTTACCTGGGTGGATAGAGAAAATGATGCACGGGTTTCCCTGCTTTTTGTGTGGTATTTTTCATACTATAATAACAAGTCAGATTTAATATTTTGTGCATATAAAGTGTAAGAAAACCTGAAAAAATAAAGGGAAAGGAAAGATTGAGAATATTTGGAATTATGCAAAAACTGCTGGGGGACATGTTTACTGTTAAGATAGAAAGGGTCATGGAAAACTGGCAAAACTGGAGTATAAAGTGACTGTCTTTACTACACAACTTTATGACATGGGAGATACTACACTTCTCAAGAAAAAAAAGATCTGTTTAGTATTTATCCAACATTTCTGGCATGTTCCAATGGGACAGGAAGGGTCACAGGACTTCACTATATCCTACCTTGAACTCATACCAATCACTGCTCCAGTGTTTATAACCACGGCCATATAAAGTGGTTTTACTCAAAATATTACATTAGCCATAGGAACTTATTGTTTTTCCATGCTAGAGGGTGCACACAGGCTCTGTACACTCACTAGAAAAAGCACCCCCAGTAAGGTGTGGTCACGCCGCAAACCCATCTCCATCTCTCCATCCGGTCAAGTTTTGGGGCAGGCCCACTGATGAGCCAGGCATGTTTTTCAGGCTGCCCCAACAAGGATTTTTAAGTAGAATAAAGCTAGATAAGGTCTTACTGGTTGATGCTTGAGGCTCCCAAGAATTCCTCTGAATGGTGTCAGAGCTGGAGTCCAGAAAGCCTTGTACTACCTTTTATTCAACTATGTTTACATTGTTCATTCCTATTCTTTTCTCCTTTTCTGTTTGCATCTTTAAAATGGTGTTGTAGTAGATAATGTGCAATCTTATGAACCAGTTTTTTTTTTTTCTATAGACTAGTCACAACTTGGGACCACTAAAGCAAAGGGCATTAAAAATTATGCACGTTTTATGGGACCAGCTGTTAGCATAATGGCTATGTCACTGGACTCCCATGTAGTCAACCGTGGTTCAAGCCCTGGACCTGGTGGCTTAAACTCATGCTGGGTGTGTGTGTGGGTGCGGGCCCAAGATCCTGAGAGGGGAATGGAAGAGAAGGGATTGCAGTATGGCCATACCCCCTGGGGGGTGATTTCTCACTTTCTGACTCTCTCTGTCTTTCTGGCGAGCACACGTGCCCTATAGCAACAACCTCTCAAAAAATTATGCATGTTTTTTATATTTTAATAGATGTGGCCAGATCACTTGACAAAAAGTTTAGCAGTTCACCCTCCATTCAAATCATACATGAGTGCCAGTTTCCTGCATTCTTCCAATAGTTGCTTTTTAAAATTTAGCCAATATGGGGAGTGAGGAAAATGTTGGGGTTATTTTCTTAAATGTACTTATTTCTATAAAACAAAAATTATAGAATTGGAGAACATTACATTCTTTTGTCTGTTAAATCTTCTTCTCTTTTCTCCTCCCACTCTCTATTATCCACCCCCATCCCTTACAGTCTTTCGTGTCTACACTTAGACTCTACTATCACATCTCCCATCTCCTAATCCTTCCATTTCTGCCATGGAGTGCAGTGTGTGTCTTACAAAGTCTGGCTCACCTTCTTACCATGAAGTCTCCTATATTTATCCACTTCAAATCCAATGACAAGGTCTCATAGTTTATTATAGCTGAGTAATATTTCTTAGTACCTATGTGCCACAGTTTTTCAACTCAGCCATCAGTTTTTGGACACTTTGGTTGATTCCCTGTCTTACCAATTGTGAAAACGCTGCAATAAACATGAATGTGCAAGTGTCTTTTTTGGCCATTTTCCTACCCTTTAGGTAATATCAAGGAGTGGGATTATTATTAGGTCGTGTGGTAGTTCTACCCTAGGTTTTTCAGGAACCCCATGTTGTTTTCCACGGTGGTTGTACTAATTACTTTCCTACCTATAGTTGAAGATGGTTGTCCCCTTTTCACTGCAGCCTTGCTAGCACTTATTTTTTGATCCTAGCCATTCCCACTGGAGTTAAAGGGTATCTCATTGTGGTTTTAATCTGCATTTCCCTTAGGACAGGAGACTGAACATTTTTTTCATATGCCCTTTGGCCATTATGTCTTCCTTGGAGACTTGAGTCTGGCGCCTTACACCACTCAACCATCCTGACACCCTGTCATGTTATAATTTTTAATTACAGTTTCCAGTGAGGATGAGCATCATGTTTACTTATATTAACTGCCTATATTCATAGCTGTTAATCAATGGTATTGTTATTTTCTTCTAATTTCCAAGAGCAGATGAATTGAAGTATTAATATATCCATGCTGCAAACTCTATTCTTCTAGGCTCCTGGACGATTTCGGGTATCTTTTGTTATTCAGAAAGGTTAAATTTGTGTACAAATACAGCATGTATTTTCTGTTTGTCGTTTTGGGGTTTTAGATTTGATTAAGAAAGTCCTCTATCCCAGGACTACAAAATATTCCCTAAAAACCTATTTAGTCTTCCCAGTTTTATTCTTCTGTGTAGATCATGTATCTACTAGATTTTCATTATCGTTTGCATATGGCATGAGACAAAGTTAAGATAATTCAGTAATTCACTAGTCACGCATAGAAAGAACTAGAACATTTAACAGAAAAAAATAACGTAAAGTTTTCTGTTAAAAAATGTGTATACTTGAGTGTCATGTATTATGCTGAAAAACCACTTTGTGTGCGCTATAGGGATGTACAATGATGGAATCTAAATGTACAAAATTTTAAAAATAACTGGGACAAAAAAATCCAAAGAACTGAAAAGGAGCGAGCAGCCTACTTCTGATCCTGATCCCACTGCAGTATTTACACATGCACGACCAAGGTCCGGCCTTGGGAGCATTTCCGGTGGAGGGTAAAACTGTCAGGTCAGAGGGGCCCGTTTTATCGAACCTTCGCATTGTATGTTTCGGCCACCTAATGTCCCCGGAATGGTGAGATGTTTTCCTATGTAGGGACGGTTAAGGTTCTTGGAACTTTTAGCGTTCTATCAGCCCGCTGAGAAGACCGCCTTCCAAGGTTACTCAAAACATCCCAAACCACCGCAGGAAAAATCTTGCAAGAAGCGGACAGACCTCCCAAACGCGTAAAGCGGGCCGGGAGTCACGACTCTGCGCATGCGCGCCCGGGGCGCTCTTCGGGCAGCCCCGCCTACCAGCCGGTGGCGCAAGCGCAAGACCCGTTCCCGCGACCCGCACGTCTCCCAGGGCGCCGGCCCGGCGGGCCCCCCCCCCCCCCCCCCCCCCCCCCAGCCGGTGGCGCATGCGCAAGACCCGTTCCCGCGACCCGCACGTCTCCCAGGGCCGGTGCGGGGCGCAGGGACAGCTGGGAAGATGGCGGGTGTGGTCCTGGGCGCTGTGGCTGCTTGGATGCCTGGTCGGAGTTGGGGCTGGGCGGTCTTGTCTCTCGGACCTCACCGGAGCCTCGGCGCGTTGCTTGCACAGAAGCCCCGGAGGGTGCCTCGGTGGCTCCCAGGTCAGTGTCCGGAAGGCGGAACTAGGACGCGTTCTTTCGAACACCCGCGGTCCCGTCAGTTCCTGTGGTAGTTTTTGGCGCCCTATTCGAAAAGGTCCTTCTCCTCCCTCCTCACCCCAGTTCTGGGCGCTTTGTACAGTTCTGGTGAAGACTGCACGGAGACCTCTGCCGCGGCCCGGGGATCCTCGGTGGCGTCGTATGCGGAGCGGGTTAGGGAGCTCTTGCGGATCTCCGCCTTCCTCCGGTTATGAAACGCAACCCTCGGAACAATTAAGATATGCATGTCATTGTTTGTTACCGTTAGGGGCTCACGCATTGTGACTGTTAAATTGCTCAGACCTGCCCTCCCTGGGCTTCAGTGAACTTAGAAGATGAAGCATGTTCTTTGTGAAGGTGTAGACGCTCTCACTAAGCCTGATTTTGTCTTCTCTGTGCTCCCACTTTGTGAAAGAACCATAGTCATCACAAAGGAATAGAATTTGGGCCCCAAAACGGAGCGTCAGGAGTGTGTGTGTGTGTGTGAAAGGATCGTCTCTTCGAATTCTTTTATATTTTGGTTTTGTGTCTTTACACCCTTGCCACACAGCTGCCAGGTGCGTGATGCTGGCATGGTAATTAAAATCATTGTAGAGAGCTTCCTCTTTCTTAAGCTAAAAACTGTTTTTAAAATAATTATTTTATTTAACTTTATTTATTTATTTTTAATTTGACCAGAGAGGGATGGAGCAAGAGAGAGAGAGAAAGCAAGCCTCCTGGTCGGGGCTCAAACCATGGTCCATCATGTGGGAATCCAGTGCCCCCAACCACCACGTCACCCACCGCCTAGGCTAAAAACTTTACACTTGCCTAACAGGTTTAGCTTATATTTAATTTTGCACAGTTTAAATGTGTAGTATGTATAATTACTCTTAGCAAAGTATAGCATGTCCGTTCGTTAACCAGAATATTCTTTTTTCTATTTAGCAGACAGTACTTATGTACCAGATTCTGCACTAGTCCTTACAGTACAAAGGTGATTTGTGGATATTAAGAATCCATCCACTTAAAACTCAGCGACATTAAATAAACTAATTGTTTCAAAGAGAAATTCCTGTGTTGGGAGGTAATATCAAGAAGAGGATAGCATGCCTTTAGGGCACAGCTGAGGAAATAGGAAATGAACATGTTTGCTGATATCGTCTGTTGACCATAGTAACTGGCCTTTACAAGCCCTGTTTTTTACAAAAGTTTTTAACTTGGCATAGTTCTCTATGCATTGAAACTTTGAACAGGCTTTCATGTAGAAGAGAGAGCTTTAAGATCTTCAATTAAGTTTTTAAAAAATCTTTTTCTTAAATCCAAAATGTGACTACTTGAGCAGCACACATGAAAGAGACTGAGGAGTTTTCTTAGCCGCAAGAGAGTAGAGGAAGCTTCATTTTATGTAAAAAAAAAAAAAAAAAAAGGGTA